GTCACTAACCATGGCCACTTAGTATCGCTTAATCACTTAATATAGCCAACTGTCAGTTTCCTCACCTCAAAAAATCAGGATGCTGGGGCTGGCCTGGTGGCGTAGTGGTTAAGTTTGCGTGCTCCGCTTCAGCGGCCCAGGGTTCACAGGTTTGGGCGTGGACCTACACACTGCTCATCAAGCCATGCTGTGGTGGCGTCCCATATACAAAATAGAGGAAGATTGGCACAGATGTTAGCTCAGGGACAATCTTCCTCAAGCAAAAAGAGGAAGATTGGCAGCAGATGCTAGCTCAGGGCCAATCTTCCTCACCAAAACAAAAAAGAAACAAAAAAAATCAGGATGCTAATCAGTATATTTCATATCTACCTCCCTGGAAGTGTTATGCAGATCAAAGAGGCAAGCAAGTTGAAAATATGCCTAAGTATACCCATTAAAGCTTCAATGCAAAATAATAATAATAATAATAATGTCTAACATTTACTGAGCTTTTACTATGTGCAAGGCATTCTTTTAATGCTTTCCACTATTAGGCCCTTTAACCCTCCCAACAACCCTATGAGGCAGGTACTGTTATTATCTCATTTTGAAGATGAGGCAACTGAGGCCCAGAGAGGCTGAGTAACTTGCTCAACTTCATACAGTTAGGAAGTCGTAGAGTTGGGACTCAAACACAGATAGTCCTGGCTCTAAATCTTTCACTCTGTACTGCTTCATAGAATATAAGGACCTTGTCCATAATGTCATATGTCAGGATAAGTCCTGGCATAGTGCTGGTAATACTGACAGAATGAAGTAGGCATATCTAGGAGGTGACAGGAACCTCGGGTGTGGTGTGGATGGTTGGCTGGAAGGAATCCAGGCTGGTGGATAGGCAGGGGTTTCCAAAGGGTATTGCAGGCATAGGCCACGGCCCAGAAGAGCCAAAAGCTTCCCCAAAGCAGCGGGACTCTCAACAAGCAAGCAGACACATCTCCTGGGACTCAGGGAGTAGGCAAGATCCCCAAGTGCAAGCAGAAGTGATGTTCAAAATGTATCCTCGAAGAACAAACTGGTAATTTGCATTTGCTCAAAGTGTCCAGGGCCACTACTGTTTGGAGGTGCCAGGCAATCAAGTGAAAGAACAATGCCAGACAAGCTGGTACATGTGCTCCCTGGCAGGGAACAAGGGCAGTCCCTGATGGTGTCCAATTAGTGCTTCTGAGAGCCAGACTGCACAAGGCAGAGGGGGAAAATGAGTTATGAAACACTTGGGGTGCTCAGGGCATTTACCAATCAGTATGAAAGTATTTTGATATTTTAACAGCCAGTAGGGCTATACCGGTTCCTAAAGTCTGAATGCCAGCCCTAGGTTGGAAATTCGTTACTTTCTCCTATCTTCCTCAAGACTCAGGGTCTGGCTAAAAATTAAATTTGAGGTAACACCTGAGGTGATTCCAGCTGAGGAAAGGGTGGAAGAGAGGAAACCCATAAGTTACTCCTTCTGACTCACACAACTCTATCCTCACTTTGATCACACTGTATTCTAATGTCCTATTTACATGTCCGCCTTTCCTCTAGAGTGTAAATAGCATATAACAAATGCATATGAAGGGCCTCCCACCTACTGGGCAGCCAGCCAGTCAATGTTTGCTGAGTAACAGCTAACATGTAGTGTGTGCTGACTTTCTGCCAGGCCTCTCATCTGATCCTCACAGCACGCCTGTTGGTAGCACCATTTTGCAACTGAAGAAATGAAGGCAGAGAGGATCGGAAACTTGCCCACATCTGGGATTAAGCCCTGGCAACCTGATCCTGGAGTCTGTACTCTTAACTACGGTGCTTGATTTAAGTGGCTGGTGGGAGGCCATACGTGTACAAAAGTTCCGAGATGAATAAAGCGTGGCTTGTTTGGGAACTGAAGAGACATATGGTAGCTGGAGTGTAGAGTCTGTGAAGGTGAAGTGATGGGTGACAAAGCTAGAAAAGTCAGCTACCATCAGATTGCAAAGGGCCTTGTATACCATATTTAAAATTTTGGACTCACTTCTAAGGTCAACGAAAAACCATTTAAAAGATTTGAACCAGGGAGTTCCAGGGTGAGATTTGTGTCCTGCAATGCTCACTCGGTCTGCTATGGGAAGGATAGATTGGAGGGAGGGTTGTGCTGCTCAACTGTTATTTACTTCCTTTGTTTATTTTTGTTTTTTTCCTTTCATTTTTAAAATACCAGCCTCACTGGACTTTACTGAAAGTTAAGAGGATTTATCCACATCTGGGCCAACACATCTCTTGAGGGGCAGATGGGAGAGGTGCCCCTTCTGATTGGCTGGAAAACCCCAGCTGTGGTGGAGCCAACTGGTGAAGGAGAGAGTGGTATGTTTTCCCTTCCCTAAGGCTGCACTTTGTCTCACAGCCTGTATTCAACACTCTCACTCCCACCAGATGCTAGGAGTAGTAGACTCCAGATCCCATGCTCCTCCCACCCCCAAATGACATAACACCTCCCAGAAACCATAGACCCTGTCCCAGAACTCGGCAGAAGGGAGAAGCAAAGGCAAACACCCTGACCTGCTAAACTTCCTCTTGGGGGTTTGATAGCATCTATCTCTTAGAGACCTTGCTTTTGGAAAAGAAATTTCTCCTGTCTGAGATTTCAGATGCCTTTGTCAGCCAGCCCTCTGGCCCAGACTGTCTGCTGAAGGGAGGAGGACGCTTGCCTGGAAAATCCTCTGGCACCAAATGGTCCACTTCTAAACTGATACAGCAACTTGGTTCTCCTCTAGACTAGGCACACCTAGAATGACTTGTCATGTATCTCTATCCTCCTTCAAGTATACCCTTGAGGTTTGCATCCTACTTCCCTGGCCCTTCCTTCTCAGTCTGCAATGAAATCCTCTTTCTCTGCCCATCTGATAAATTTTGGAGTACCCCAGGATCTATCCTCAGCTCACTGTTCTCACCAATACCACTCCCTAGCTGCACCTGCTTTGCAAAGGGTTGGAGGAAGGCCCAGCTGAAACACTGCCAAAGAGAACTAGTGCCAGGGTTTGGGTCCTGAAGGAAACCAAGAACCAGAAGAGGCGGAGGTGGGTCTGAGATTAAGTTCTTACAGTGATGCTTCTTCATTGAGGGTCCTGGAACTTATGAAATTGCAGATTCCCTGGCCCTACCCAGGGAAAGTCTTGATTCCTTAGTTTTGGGCTGCAACATAGGCACATGTATTTTGAAAAATCTTCTCCAAGTGATGGTCTACTACCCCTTTATATTTTGAAAAAATTAAAACCTAGAGAAAGTTGTAAGATTAGTACAATGAGGACCCATATACCCTTTATCAAGAACTTTCACCAATTATTAATATTTTGCCATCTAGCTTTATCTAGCTAGCTAGCTGACTAAAATTTTGTATATAATAATTATTATATTTTATATATAATATAATAATTATTAAAATAATAATAATTTTGCTGAACAATTTGCAAGTTAGTTCAAACATCATGATATTTAACCCTAAATACTTCAGTGTATATCTCCTAGGAACAAGGACATTCTTCCACATACAATTCATATTTATTTTTCCTTAAATATCACAATAATGGCCTCTATAGCCATTCCCTTCTACCCCATCCAAAATCCATATATTGCATTTAGTTATCCGTTAGTCTTCTGTAATCTAGAATAGTTCCGCAGCCTTTTTGCTGGTCTTTCATGACACTGACATATTTTGAGTCCAGGCCAGTAGTTTTGCAGAATGCCTAAGAGATTTTGATCCATAGCCAAGGCTGAGAACAGCTTACAGAGTACTTTACTTTGGAGAGATCATAACCAGTCAATGAACAGGAAGGCAGGCCTAAGGCCAAAATGGAGGGTTAGGAACTGCATGAAAACTGAAAGGAGGTCAGGAGTGAAGTGAGGAAGGGTGGCGGCTACGCAGATTGGATGGCTTAAACACATAAGGTCACAGCAGCTCTTCTTCCTATGGTTACAAATGCTCAAATACACCCAACAATGATTCACACGGTGATTTCTTCTGTCCTCTCACCTGTCTCCTGTGCCCCAGGCACTTATTTTGAACTGTCTTCTGGACATGGACATTTACTGAGCATATGCTGTGCATCAGGCACTGTTATAAGCACATCACATGTATTACCTTATTTAACCTTCATCACAACAAACTCTCTAGGAGGCAGGAACTGTGATTGTTCCCGTTTGATGGGTGAGGAAACTGAAGCACAGAGAGGGGGTAACTTGTTCAGGGTCACACAGATAGTAAGTGGGGTACCAGAATTTGAACCCAGGCAGTTCTAGCTCCAGAGCTCTCACTTTTTCATTTATTTTTTAAATTATTATTCAATAATTTTTTTTTATTTTGGTTTACAGTTCTATGAATTTTGACACATGTATAGACTCATGTAACCACCACCATACTCAGGATACACAACTGTTCCATCACCCCAAAAAACTTCCTTTCTGCTATCCCTTTAAAGGCACCCCCACCCCCTCCGGTGGGGAATGTTGCTATTTTTGTTTTGTTCCTCCTACAGGCTGTGTTTCCAATGTCAGTTTGGGTTCTTTAAATTTTAAATTGTTAATTGGTCTTTCCTATGTATTTGCCAACCAGTAGTCAGTTGGCTCCTCGGGGAGGACCGTTTAGTTCAGTTCTCAGTCTTCGTTATGCTAATTAGGATCAGTTCAGTTCAGTTCTCAGTCTTCGTTATGCTAATTAGGATCAGTTCAGTTCAGTTCTCAGTCTTCGTTATGCTAATTAGGATCAGTTTAACGCACGCAGAGGTCAAGGGTAAACCCAAGAGTTCCTAAACAGCTTTATAGGCCACTTTCCTGAGCTCCTCACTCTCCATTATCTTTCCAGTACTTTCTGGTTCCCTGGGCTCCCATTTTTGGTCCTCTAGGCTAGAAGTAACCCATGTCCGGGATTGCGCTGTGTCTAGGGCCAAGTGAGCGGAGACAAGGAGAGGGGAGACAGAGACAAAAAGAAAGCATCGGGTTTTCGCCCCTTCCTCTTAGAGCTGCAGGTCCATTGAACAAAGAGGAAGGTTGTTCCCCTTAGGAGTTTCGGCTTCCGCCAGTTTCCGTTCCCGGCCGCTCTTTGCCACTGCCGCCACAGCTACTGTGGGATGACCTGGTGACTGAGACGCGAGGGAACAGAAAAAAGAGGAGAAAAAAAAGCACCAGGGTATTTCCTCCACTCTCTCTGGGCTTTAGGATTTCCCTTTGCTGCTCCTCCATCCAGAATAAAGGCTTTCTCCTAGATCTCTGCACCACAGTGCTCACTTCCGGTTTTCAGAATGTGTTGAGCTCATGCTGGGAGATGCTGGAGGAACAAAAATGGTAAACTCACCACCACGTTGATGGTACTTTAAATTCTAGTGTTCTTCTCTGATCTGCCTGCTGATATTTCCTTTTCAGAGTTCTCAAACAGTTGCCCATGCATTCTGTACAAGTTTTATAGTCAAATTCAGTGAGAGAGAAAGGGAGGTGGGTGTGTACTCTGTCATATCCAGAATCAAAAATCAGCCGTCACTTTTATAAACCCCATGCCATAGTACCTCTCCACGTAAATGTGCCATAGACACTATGAGGTCATCATGTGCCAATCGGATTTCATTACCTATTCACTAGTCTCGCCTCTTCCAGTGATCCCTATCTTAACCAATGCACCATCATTTACCCAGTTGTTCAAGCCCAAACCCTGGGTGTTGTCTTTGGCTCCTCTCTCTCTATAACATCTGCATCCAATCATTCCTTGATCTTTGCTTCTCCCTCCTTATTTCCGATATCTTAAATTATTCAGACCTTTATTCTTTATCATCTGGATTATGGCTACAGTCAGCTAATTGGTATAACTGGCTGATATTTTTTATTTGTTTTAACTTTCTGCTTTTTAAACTTCGTATTGGATATATAGAGAAAATCACACAATGTTATAAACTTGATTTATTATCAGTAAATTTCACAAACTGAACCTACCCATGATCAAGGAACAGAAAATTACCAGAATTCAAAACACCCCCTTGTGCTCCCTCTCAAACACTACCCCTTTACTTCTCCCTGTAGGTGACCACTATACTGATTCTTAAAACCACAGCTTGGCTCTGCCATTTTTAAAACTTTGTGTATAGATAGAATCATACTGTATGATTTTTTTGTGCCTGATTTCCTTAGCTCAACATTATGTGTGTGATATTCAATCATGTTGTTGCATGTTGTTTTATTCTCACTGTTGTACTAATATTCCGTTATATGTTAAAATCATCCATTTTGTGGTTGATGGACATTTGGATTGTTTCCAGTTTGGACCTATTAAGAATAGTGCTGGGGCCGGCCCCGTGGTTTAGCAGTTAAGTGCACGCACTCTGCTGCTGGCGGCCCGGGTTCGGATCCTGGGCGTGCACCACTTCTCCGGCCATGCTGAGGCCGCGTCCCACATACAGCAACTAGAAGGCTGTGCAACTATGACATACAACTATCTACTGGGGCTGTGGGGGAAAAAAAGGAGGAGGATTGGCAATAGATGTTAGCTCAGGGCTGATCTTCCTCACAAAAAAAAAAAAAAAGAATAGTGCTGCTATGAATGCTCCGATACATGTCTGTTGGTGGCCATAAACGCTCATTTATACTAGACATATACCTACAGATGATATTTCTAATATGCATATGTTCAGCTTTTATAGATACTGCTAAACTCTTTACCAGAGTGGTTGTACCAATTTATACTTCCACCAGTAGTATATGACAGTTCCTGTTGCTCTATAGCTGGATACTATTTTTAGAGATTAATATATTTATATATTTTTTCTCCCCATACATTCCTGTTTTTCTTTTCTTCCCTCAAGCAGGTAGCTGGTTCTGGCCGTCTTGGCCACCAGAAGCTTTGTAGCAGGGCAGAAAACTAACATTTCCCAGAACACTTTCTTTTTTTTTTATAATTTTATTTATTTATTTATTTTTTCCCCAAAGCCCCAGTAGATAGTTGCATGTCATAGTTGCACATCCTTCTACTTGCTGTATGTGGGACACGGCCTCAGCATGGCCGGAGAAGCAGTGCGTCGGTGTGCGCCAGGGATGCGAACCAGGGCCGGCAGCAGCGGAGCGCGCACACTTAACCGCTAAGCCACGGGGCCGGCCCGCACCCCACCCCTCGCAACACTTTCTGACTTTTGTTCACAACACCGTTGAGCCCCAGAGGGAGGAAAAAGATTGCCAGTAAAGAAAAAACATCTTGGAAGAAACAGAAAGGGAAAAGGATTTTCCCAGGTTGAAAAAGAGATTCCGCCCATATAAGGGGAGGAGATAAAGAGCTCTGTGTATTCCAGAGTGACAGAGCCTGGCCCGGCTTCTGGGTGGTGTGTGAGGAAGGCCCCAGAGAGAAGTCATGAGGTGGGAATCTCGGAAGGTGAGACTGTAAGCAAAAGTTTTTCACAAAAGCATCCAAATGCTGCTGGACCTGAAGGGCCCTGCACAGGGGCCAATGGATATTTCAACATTAACCAGCATGAACAGATGACTTGATGACTAGAGGGCCATACCCCCAGGCCCTGATGCATATAAAATCCCAGAACTCAGGCACAACTCTGAGTGAGGGATCCCAAGAATAACTAAGGTTGGGTTTTCCTCCAGATTTATGGGACTGGGAGCTCAAAATGGAATTAACTCTGATTTATAAAGAGATGTGATATTTCTCAGCCATCTGAGTTGTGGACTGAGGAGCGTACCTCCTACACTGGTCTGGTATTCTCCAGGGCTACTGCTAGCACATATAGAATCTTTGTGAAAATTAGAAAACAGGCACTGCCTCTGGGCTGATCAGTTAGCAAAAGGCTCACCTTCTGCTGAGCTGGCAGTGTTGGGCCAGGGTGCTTAGCTTGATAAGTGGAATGTGGGCTGGATTTCAGCCCCTATTCATGCTCCTTGCACCATACAACCTGCACAACCATACATAGCAATCATGAGTGGCCCCTGTCCCAATCCACCTTTCCCATCATCACCAGAGCTCTTGCTCTGAAGCACACATCAGACCATGGCACCTCCCTGCTTAAAACCGTTCAATGGCTCCCCATTGCCTGGATCCGCACTGACAAATACACTAGCCACTAGTCACATGTGGCTCTTGAGCATTTGAAATGTGGCTAGTTTGAGTTGAGGTGCATTGTAAATGTAAAATACATACTGGATTTCAATGAATTTGTATTCAAAAAAGAATGTAAAATATTTAATTAATAATTGTATTGATTACATGTTGAAATGATAATATTTTTGATATATTGAGTTAAGTAAAATATGATATTAAAGTTGATGTTAGCTGTTTCTTTTTTCTTTTTTTAATGAGTCGACTAGACAATTTAAAATTGCATATGTGGCTCACATTATATTTTTAATGGACGGTGCTGGTCTAGGTAAAGTCCAAACTCCTGACTTTGACACAAAAGCACATTATATTCTTGGCTTTGCTTCTTCTACAGCCTTATCTAACCTCCCGTCTTCCTCCTTTCTCCCCACCCCTCCAATTCATGCATACATACCCTCCTTCACCTGGCACTGCAACCACTCTAAATCCCTTTTCATTCTCTTTCATACCTTTGCTTTTGCACAAGCTTTTTCCTTTTCCTCAAATGCACTTGTCTTCCTTGGAGTTTAGGTTCCTTATGTGTCAAATTAAGAAAGAGTGATAGACAATCTCTAGCATTCCTTCAGGCCAATGGTTCTATAGTTTGGCCTCAAAGAAATACACAGTGGCATGGATAATCCGACAGTCATTTGCATTTACATTCAATGTGAGAAAATAATATATACTAAGCACTGGTGGCCTACTGTGTGCCAGGCTCTGTTCCAATTGCTTTCCATACCACTTAATCTCATCAACAATCCTATGAGATGAGTACTATCATTATCCATCCCTGTTTTACAGATGGGGAAGCCTAGGTTCAGAGAGATTAAGTGATTTTCCAAGGTTACCAGAGACTTCAGAGCTCAGGCTCTTAACATCTATACCATGTTTGAGAAGCTGGGAATTGATAGCACTTTCAGTTGAAGGAATCCACACAGCAAAAGAATGACTTGGGAAAAGATGGCAAGCTGCCCAGACCTCTTAGCCTGTTCCTGCTCTTTTAACATTCAGCTTCCTTGTCTCTGACACTGGAAAACAGCTGTCTCTCCCTCTGTCACTGTCTGACCTTCCTTCCAGGTTTATATTCCCATAAAAGCTCAATCATGGAGGCTGAGCTTACAGCTCAGGACGGCTGCCTGTGGACACCGTTAAACACTTCCTCTCCACTCTTGCTCAGCTGTCCCAGGAGTCCAAAGGGTCTGGCCAGAAGGGGATTATCAATATTTTTCAGGCCCCTCTCTTCAGATTTAGGGGTTTCCCTGAATTCTCTGGAATTAGGTTGCCTCACCAGCAAGAAATGCATTCATCTAATAATCCCACCAAGTCATAGGTAAACGTGGAGGAAATATGCAAATAAAAGAGCAGAAGCAGGGGTTGGCCCTGTGGCCTAAGTGGTTAAATTCAGCACACTCTGCTTTGGCAGCCTGGGTTCGGTTCCTGGGAGTGGACCTACACCACTCAGCTTCTGCCATGATATGGCAGTGACCCACGTACAAAATAGAGGAAGATTGGCACAGATGTTAGCTCAGGGCGAATCTTCCTCAAGTAAAAAGAGGAAGATTGACAGCAGATGTTAGCTCAGGGTGACTCTTCCTCAGCAAAAAAAAAAAAAAAGAGAGCAGAAGCACATCCGTGCTAATTAGGTCTCTCCTCAACAGACACTCACACTCTTCTCACACCCACACTCATACTTTTAAAAACAAATCATTCTAAAAACAACATAACAATATTAAACAGCTGTGGGGAAAATCCTCTTAGGTGATTTAACAGAAAGGCTGTGGAATCTGTCAGACTTCGGTTCCACCCCTGCCTTTGCTATGTGACCTCGAGCAAGACAACCTCTCTGTCTGAGCCTTCTGATAAACTGTTATGCCCCCTCCATCCCTTCAATTCTCCACCGTGTATCCAACCATCTAGCCCTCCTGCTTTGGATTCTTCCACAAATGCAGGCCTTCAGCTTGCTTTTCTCTCCTTCAGGAGCTGTCAGTCTTCGCTCTTTGCCTTCAGGTTCAGCTTTCCCAA